GCTTCTCTCTTGCAGAGGCGCTAGCTTTTAGCCTCCTTGGGTCAATCCGTCCATCCACATCCTTGAATCTGTGAGGAATGTCACTAACAAAGCAGACGCCGTTTTACCCTCAAATGTGAATGAATGATCAAACCTGACCGCCGGAAATTATGCTAATTCAAGCAATTAGTTCCCATATTTGTCAACTTTAGGTTGGTCTAAAATATAAACAAAAATTAAAATAAAAAACTGATTTCAAATGAAGAAATACAGTTTTATTGCTTCAAATTCTTGAAAAGGATGCAGATTTTTCCTACAGCTACACACAGTAACCTATTGCAAAAAAGAAAAACTGCAGGTATTTAGTAGATCTACATTTCTTTTCCTTTTCATTTTTCATTTTCAACCGCTTAATCCCTGAACGGGGGCCGGAGCCAATCCCGGCCAGCAATTGGGCACACCCTGGACAGGTTGCCAATCCATCGCAGGGCTAACACATAGACGAACAACCACACGCACACACACACTCCTATGGGCAATTTTAGAGACACCAATCAACCTAAGCTGCATGTTTATGGACTGTGGGAGGAAGCCGGAGTACCCGGAGAGAACCCACGCAAGCATTTCTTTTCCTAAAATTCTCAAAATCCTCAATAAAATCTTTGAAGTTAATAATTTAACTACCCTAATTTACTGAGCTACATACAATAAAATTCTGTCTATATGACTCTATATCACAACTAGTTCGTCAAATGAAGTAAATGCAAAGAAGTGGAAGTGTAGTGGTAGATAAAGGCACAAAAAGAGAAAGAAAGAGGTAGAGTGAGAGAATGAAAACAGAGGGGAGGACACAGCAGTATATGCACCAGTGCTTTCCTTTGGAAGAAACACTAACAAAAACAGCTAATGCATAAGCCGGGAAGCAAATAACACATATGTAAAGGGGGTAGTAGCGAGGCATGGCTTAAGGCCCTTGGATGAATGATCATGAGCATCCACACATACTCATATGCACACATGAACTCAAAAATCCCAGGGAAAAAAAGACCATTCTCACAAGTGATGGCTAATATTTAAAGAATTTTGAACTACTCTCTTTTACCTAAGGGACGTTGCAAGGACTAGTGAAAAATAAATGTCAGCAGTGCAGCAGGAAGTCTGCAAGATGCCTCATAGAAACCTTAGATTATTTACTACTGTAATATTCAGTTAATAAAACTCTCTTTCATTCAGGCTTTCTTGAGGTGTTTTCTGCATTGCAATTAACAATATCTTTTGTCAAATTCCATAAAAACACATAAACACTGTAAAGCAGACTGATGCAATGTGAAGCAACATGGGCCAGAAAATATGTTGGAGACAGAAATACCCTGGAGGTCTCTCCTACATTAATTATATTTTAAAGCCTTATTCTCTATGACAGAATTATGATGCGTCATTTGTTCCTGAGTATGTGTGTGTATGAGAATTTCTCCCTCACAGCTGTGGCCCATGGTGCGTTTGGATCTGGTCCTGAAAGGCAAATCTCAAGATCAGCTGTTTTGCATATTTTCAGGAAAACTGAAACAGTTGTTAACCTTGTCATTAACACCATCTTGCCACTAGAGGAAGCTGTTGTATAAAACAATAAAGATGTTGATGACCAGAGAATTAAATCAGCTGACAGAGATGTTACAAAATTCAAGCAGGAGAGAGAACAAAAACATCCCTGAGTACTTGAAGGTGTGTGTGTTGAGTTTTTTTTTTGTGTATTAAAACAGAAATCAGACCAGAAGCAGCCAAAGACCTTACCGGGAGATGGCAAAGGTTTGATTTGCACACACTGCCTGACTCTCACACTCTCACATTTGTCACACTAGGGTGTACACAAAACCACACACAGGAATACTTCTTCTTTGCCAGTCATACACACCTCTCTGAGTTGTAGCATCTCCTTGTCTTTTTGTTCCAGTAGGCCCTCCAGTTGGTGGATAGTCATCTCAGCATCAGCCAGTCGCCTCGTACGTTCGTGGTCCTCTTCGGTTGCCCGTGATGACAAGCCTTTACTCTGCAACATTTCCAGTAACTTCTTTATTGACTCATCCCTGTTAGAAAAGAATAGTAGAAATATAAGGACAAAATGATGGGAGTCAAAAACATTAAATGAATTCACACTAGAACCAACCTCCCCTTTCTCTGCCCTCAGTCTTTACCTGGCAGTTAGTGTTTGTTTCTGTGTATCTATCCTCAGCTCCATTTCTTCCACAGTCTTCCTCAGGAGGAAGAGTTCTTTGACCTGTCGCTCATACTCGCCGTGCAGATGCAGGAAGTTCTCCTCTGTCATTTCCTGAGGGGGGATAGGCTGGTTTCCGAGGCGACCTGACTCAGAGTAATCGGACTGGAAGAGCTGATTGAGATCTCGCTGAATTCGCAGCTCATCTTGTAAAGCCTGGATGGTGCACTGAAGATGCTGGAGGCAGAAAAAGAAATTAAAGCTATACAATGTAAGCAATTACAGGACAGGGATGTTGAAAAGATTTTTACTATTCTATTCCACAACAGGATTATATAAGTCTGGCATGGTTGTTAATCAGTGCTACTGGATTCACCTTTATTGTACCAGGAGCTGAGATTTTTGGCTTTACATGGCACATTTGAAGGCTGGGTTATAAATCAGGCTATGCAAGAAACTGCCCCAAAACCTAGGTACCTGGACACAAGAAGCCCTTATTCCACTATGTCAACAGGTTTCTGGTTATTCCATGGTACAATTGTGAAATTTGATGTCACTTGCATTTTGTTATACTATAGAGCCTTATGTTGGTATATTGTCTACTTGCCACTTGCTGTTGCCTTGCATGAGGATATATACATAAGTGCACATTGAGAGCCGCTCTATCAGAGTCAAATTCCTCATGTCCAGCACACCTGGCCAGTAAAGCTGATTCTGATTATGATCTGCTGAAGTAATGCTGACTATGTGTCAAAAGCAAAGGTGGCATGTTTCCACTTTTATTTGGCCCCTGACTGGAGAACAACCCAGGTCAGACTCAGAACATGCTGGAGGGATTATATCTTCCAGGAAACATGAGAGCATGTGGGGACCACCAGGAGAAGCACTCTGCACTTGTTTTGGGAGACACCCTGATTAGAGGAAAGAAAACACTGGATTGGTGCATCCTAATGGTAGCTGGTGTGAATCCGTAAAGCCCAAAGAGGTACTGTATGATAATGATCTATGATACAAATAAACAGTTCATGAGCATAGTGCATCATAACTGCAACGGTTATGGTGCACTGAGTTTGACTATTCTGTACTTGGATCAGTAAACAAAATATATGGATCTAGCCTGACCTTAAGCAATGTGTGAATAAGTGACTGGCAGGCTGGGAGAGTATACAATAACCGTGTCATAAAAAGTGTGTTGGCAGGTTAGTATCACAACCATCATGACTGAGGACATGACCTGACTACATCTGAGTCAAATAGAGTTTATAATGTTTGTTCATATGTGTGTGATGTCAACATGATGTCCCCAGGATTTTTAAAAATGTGTCACACATAACCAACAGAACAACAGCCAGGTTGCCATGGAGTATTACCAGAGATAAATATAATAAAGGTAGGAAAACTGCTGAGAGAGAAGTGCAGTAAACAGGAGATTAAAAAAGGAAAAGAGAAGAGAAGAAAGAACGATAGAGGTTAGAAAAGGCAGAGATGCTATCACTTCCCGGCAGCCATCACTGATGAGAGAAAGAACAAGATTAAAGGAGAAAGAAAGAGACAGATGAGTAGGGAGGCAAAGAACAACAATTCTTAGATTATTCATTCTTAGAAGAAAAAGGAAGTAGAAGAGAAGAGGCAAAAGCAGCATACACTGTATGCTCGTCCAAACAAGCACACATACAGTGGGGCAAATAAGTATTTGATACACTGAC